TGACATACTCTTTGTGTATTATCGTGTTAAGTTACTTTTGACAAAGCTGCGCAAGGTAACTATTAAGTCACCGTTAGCTCTGAACATCAGCAAAAAAAAAAAAGAAAAAAAGTTTGAGGGTACAAAAAAACCTATGTTCACTCATTGTCTTACAATGGGGTGTTTTAATTTTAACTTTCCCAGTGAAGTGAATTTAATGGTTACATTACCTGTCTTCATGCTTGCTCTCATTGTGCCAATAAAACTTGTACCAGTGGTTTCTGGAAGCAATGCAACACAGAATCTGTATGTTGTCTTCAACAGTGTTTCCGGTTGGCAATTGAACTCTTAATGCTTTTGAAAAAGAAGCTTATTTACTGACAAGTTTGCAAACATTTATTTTCAGGAGCACTGCATCTCCAGTCGTCTTCATCCACTCTGTGCGCAGGGGGCGTGGCACTGCAGTTGACACTGGGAAGGATGCGCAGCACCTTCATTCGGTGTTTCTCACTGATCACATAAATATGCAATCATGAAAAAAAAAAAACAACAAAAGATGACTTCAACACACAACTCGTGTGTATGTGTGCGTGTGTGTGTGTGTGTGTGTGTGTGTGTGTGTGTGCGTGTGTGTGACAGCGGCATGGACCTAATGAGTGATAAACAGTACTCTTCATCAATCTGGTTCCAATTTTGTCCGATTGCTTTGTGCCAGATAGGCCTTGCAGGTAAGAGCCTTGTCATGTAGCCTTTTCTTCAACTTCCACCAAAGATTTGTAATTGGACTGAGATCCGGACTATTTGAAGGCCACCACATTGACCTTGTGTGTCTTTCTTCAAGGAATATATTCCCGGGTTTCGCACCATGGCTAGCTGCAACATCATCTTGAACATGGATTTAATCATCCCCAAACACCCTTTTCATTGACGGGTTAAGAAAAGTGGCCACAATGTCAATGTAAACTGCATTTTCAGAACATTGCTGCTGTGAACTGGGAATTTCTACATTGTGAGACGAATGAAGGTTTTCTTATTCTTATTATTATTCTTTTTTATTGAAGATTTAATGACCACCATCTACCCAGTGCCATTTCCTGACATGCAGCCCATATTATCCATAACTGTGGAAATGTGAATGTTTTCTCTAGGCACTCGTCTTCATAAATCTTTGGAATGTCAGAGGAACCTTGAGCAAGCAGGAAGGGTGACATGAAAATTCCACAAAGGAAGGACAGAGCTGGGATTCAAACCCCAATCCTCAGAACTGTGAGGCAAAGCCACTGCATTGTCTCTTGGTGCATAATATGGAATTATAATGTATAATACCACAATATAACATCATAGACAGACAGGGTTTCACAAATGAATTCAGTTCAATGTTGTCCTCATCTGGTCAGTGGATTTTTCACGTTTTAATGTTACTGCTGCGCAGGTGCGGGCAGCGTCCCTCAGGGTTCCATTAAAATGATGCCCCCTCTCAAGGCCGAGTGGCTCGCTCTGTAGATTTAACGTCGGCCATATGTGTGGCAGAAGGCAAACAGCTGATGGGGTTTAATTGTCAGAAATCAACATATTTGGGTGTGTGTTTATGTGTGTGTCGGCCGGCGTGATCCACGTCAATGGGCTCGTGATTGTTTGAACAGGTCAAACATGGATCAGACCCCAGTTGGACAGGAGAGTGGAGCCAACAAGACACGATAACAGGCAAACATTTGCACTAATTACGTATTCCATAGCACCTTCTGAATCCGAATTCGACAGGACAGTTTTCTGGAGAAGGCCCATTCCTGTTCTAGCATCTACAAAGTACCTTCACAAAGAATGATACATAAAACTGTGTTTACACCTTTTATGAAGTCAGTTCCAAGTTTAAAACTCAAGCATTTGGATCATCTCATAGATGGACTACATTCAGAGTTTCCTGGGGAGGTACTGAAATTATTATTGTTTTTACTTGATCAAAAGACATGTTTTTAGTTACTAGGTTGGCATGGCTCACTGGTAGCGTGGTCGTCTCTAAGTTCATCCATGAGGTCAGTGGGTGGGTAAAAATGATGAGCACCTAAACATCAACCTCTGGTGCTCATTTGAGTTCCATGCTTTTTTTTAAAAATGTGCAGCCCTGCTTATAATATCTTTATAAATGTTGCCCGAGCAATTGCATTCATACTGTGTATCCATTGCTTTTCACACCAAGGCGAATAGGTAGTCCATCTCGGGTGTTTTTCATTATGGGTTGGCACTCACAAGCAAAAGCAAAAAAAAAAAAGGACAGCTCCTATCTGGAACTCCTAAGTCGAGTTACATGGCACCACCTCATATGAATCATTTCGATGAATTAAATCTCACCCCCAATTCAAGCCTTTTCAAACTTGCATCATGGTATGATTTGATGCGACTGAGCTTGAGATTTGTGACGCAGCAGGCCCTCTCCTTGGGCCAAAATCTTGTCAAACGAGTGGAATCCCTTTCTGCTGCAAAAGAGGAAGGTAGACGCCATACTGGTCCTTCCTATATTAGTGTAAGGAGCAGTCAAATAAATACTTGTGATCACAGTCTAGCTACGCATCACTTTCCCGGACTTGAGTGACTTTTCAAAACAAAGAAGGATTTATAAAGTAGTGAATTTAGCCTTGTCGGAATGGTTAAAAGTAGTAGTAAGTCTCAAAGGATATTCCAACAATGAACTAAAAGGCGCAGTGCAATTAGCACATAAAGCCCATCAGCGGCTCCCAATATCATCGCCCTCTAAGGAGCGGCAGACATATAATGCCTCCTGATCTATTACCACAAAGTGATTAATCCTCCCCACACAATGACCACTCTTCAACTGGGCCTCTATATTATGAGGTGGCCCTTGCGCTAATTAGCATTCAACTCAGCAAGCAGAGACAACCCCTCCACCAGGAGAAAGGACAGGAGTGGGGATGGCGACACAGTGAAATGTCATTAACTTGATGTTAATTACTAATTAATGGGGCCATTTCATTTACATGTATCTCTGGCTCTGTGATGGAGTCTGCCTTTCGTGGGTTACTCTGACTGGCCGACAAGTTGGGGGGAGGGAGGTGGTGGTGGTGGGGAAGTCGTCTCATTCTGCTGCACTCTGCTTTCTTTCTGCTAATTAAATAGTGGGTCGCTCATCACTGTTATGTCTGCTTTTACAGCGCCATTTTCCGTCAGAGAGCGCGATGGTGGTGGTGCACCACCACATTATGCGCGAGGCTCTTTCATCATCAAGCCCACCAACTTGGAACTTCGTTACTTTTTCTGACCCCTCCCTTTCCTCTCATGAGCGCACGGGCCACCCGTTTCTATGGCAACCTTGCTGTTGGGTCCCATGAGAAGGAGCTGGCTGGTTTGATGAGCGTTTGGCCATTCACGCATGGCCAGGGCCAGCATGGCACACAGCGTAGTGCCGTATGGTGCCGCGGCATACAGTGCGTGCTGCTGGCCTGGATTTCGGGCTGGGGTAGTCCACGAGTTGACCCGGGGCTTACAGTAGAACCGGTTCTACTACTGATGCGGTGATTGATTTCGAGGTCAGATCAAGTCCTTCGTGTTGCCCTGCAGAAAAAGCTTCGAGCCTCGCACTCGCCTTATAATCGACACTTTACTGCCTCCCAGTGGCATCGTACAGAAACCACACGAAGATGCCTCAAACATTGGAGTCTACTCACAAGTGCTGACAAAATATTTTATTTTTTAACATATGCTTTTGAATGACATAAGTTACATTTTAGAATACTGAATTTTACAGTACCACATTCTATTCTAATATAAAAACTCGCAGGAGAGCTCTGAGGAACCACACTGAACTAAATATTACAGGCAAAGTAACAGAAGGGCGGAAAACAGAAAATACAAGTGTTAGAGTCAAAAGTAGAAGTGAAGCATCTGAGGAATACGAACATTTGTTGAAAAGATAAGGGAACAAATGTGTTAGAGGCATTCATATTATGGAACGTCAACAAGCTACAGCGTAGGGCTGGACGATTATTCGAACATTTCTCTTGATCTTTTAAAAGTTACAATCAAAGAAACAGGATTTCTGTACAGATTGGTGCCTTTAAAAGATCCCGCCATTGTGGAAGTACCCGGAATGCACCACGTTGCTTGCATAGCAAACATGTAGACTGATTCTGCCATCCCTCAGCGTCCTTTAAGCTGTCTAACCCCTGTGCAATGCAGGTACACTTCATGTACACCTGACATGCGTTGTGTCGCAAAAACAAATGCATGCCATGCATGGGTTTTAAACCTGTGGCATGCATTCGTTTTTACGACACAACGCATGAAGTGTACCTGCATTGCACGGGGGCTAATGACCCTCCAATTGGAGTTTACCGTAAAACTAAACACACAACAAATACAGTATAATTACCCAAATTATATACTTACATACAAAACTTGCTTTGTTTTTAAAACATTGCTATCGCTGATGCTACATTCAATGTGATATCCCACTGGCAATTATTTTCAATTGCTATTATTTTTGTATACTGTACTCTTATTTTACTTTCTTACGCATTTTCTTTCTCTTTGTCACAGTTCTATTTAAAGACTGAATGATTTTTTTCCCTTCAAACTTCAGGGATACAAAGATCCAAGGACTTGTATTTTCTTTTTGGTCATACAACACACATTTCCACACGAAATACAATCCCTGAGATCCCAGGTTAGACCAGTAAGTCTCAAACTTGTGGAAAATAAAGTCACTGTCCTGTGAAAAACACGTATGTTTACTTTTGTCATTTGAAAAAAAAACAAACAAACAAAAAACAAAACATTAAGGGGATGTCCAAAACACGAACACCACATGAATGTAAACATGACAAAAATAGACATGCGTGTTTTTCACAGGACAGCGACAATAAAATACATATGATAAAAACATAAGGCTTATTACTTTTTCCATAATCGTCCAGCCCTAAAACAGTGGATGTGCACTTTCAGAGTGTGTCCGATGTCATCCAATATGTTGAAATCTATTACTATAACCAGCCTTATCCCGTTTTCTATTGTTGAGCCGACACAGAGGTTATATGTGATTAAAAACAGTAAAGACATTTTCACTGTGATATAAAACATGATAAGCATATTTGGGCCAAGGTATGTGGTGTGCGATAAAACAACTGCCGCCCATTTCACAATGCATCACAAGGATTTTGTACTGTATGTATGGTCGGCAGAGACACCCCAAAAAAAAAAAAAAAAAAAAAATCACATCACTGTAACACCACTCCCAAGCAGGCACAAAAAACATAAAATGCATAGACTGGCAAAGTCAAGTAAGCACCTGAAATAGGTACCCAAACTTCCAACAGCAAGAGTAAATGCTACAAGCAATTATTTCCGGTTTCTGTATGTGCGACCCCCCCACCCCCTCCCAAAAAAAGACTTCGTTCTACAAACTGAAGATCTCATTTGTCTGGCAACACACGCAACATTCATCATGTCAGTGTGCAACAAGTTCACAGCGAAGCAAAGGAGGACACAAGGCAAGAGAGAAACGACATCTCCCAAATAAGTCAAATATCAACGACAACAGATAAGTGCGATAGCTGCTTTCACCCAAGTGAAATACGTACATATAAAGACTACCCAGGTCAATTGGGCGTTTTTTACATTTGCCATCGCAGCCTAATAAATTTATTCTCTCTAGAAAGATACCAAATACTTCTTAAGCCATAAAAATATAAAGGTACTTTATTCAAAATAATTAAGTCAGGTATTTCTACAACATGAATCTACATTTAAAAAAAAAATTTAAAAAAGAAGCAAATTTTCAGTAACTTTGGTCTTTTTGCTTTCAAACATTTGTTGAAACAGCAAACAGGTATTGTAGGATGCACTGATTAGCTCGAAGCCTTTTCACCTCACTGCAACCGAACTTGTAAACATGGTGAAGGGGGACAAACAGTTACAGGACATAAGTACGCTACCAACAACTCAAACAAAAACACGGAAGAGACAGAACAAACGCACGCTTTAAGCATTTTCTAACTAGAATGCCACTCAAAGATGAAGTGTCAATGCAGAAGCACTTTCTTGAAAAGAGGATCATTCAAAGAGCAGCACTTCACCGAGGCTAAAATCCAAATCTAAACTAGGCATGAAACTTTGACCAAAAGTCCCTGGTTGACAATGGGGAAACTTACCAGTTGATTAATTCGCCTCAACTGCTTCAAGAGACATTAAATAAGAAGCACATTCACAAAATGTAGAGAATTCTTCATCAATTTGGATCAATATTCTTCCCATCCCAACACTGCAACCTTTCCTAGACTCCAACATCCTGTGCATGCCTTACCATCAAGATTCCCAAATAGTAATGAGAAATGAAGATTTTGAAAATGTACTAAATCTCAAACTGTTTGCAAAAGTGAAGACAAATTCACAACAAATCTGCCATGGTTTCTCTTTGAGCAATGTCCCACCACCTTCGTAAAATTTCATGTATATTGCTTGAGTAGTAGTTGTGTACCCCTGGAAAAAAAATAAAAAACAAACAGAAAAAAAAAAACATGCATCTTAAAGGGGAGTTTGTCCTAAAAACTACATCGATAAACACTTAAAGCAGTCGTCCTGACTAGGCAGCAGTAGCTGCTAAAATGATCCGTTGTGGGGCGGGAATCGGCCGTCTCCAGTCACATCTTGTGCCCCTAATTTGATCGACAGGAAACCACTGCACCCGAGGAAAAAGAACCAGCCGGAGAAAGACGGTGAGATTGTGAGGTGTTAATCATTTATCGTGCAACCGCAGGCGGAAGCATCGCGGCCTTCCAAAAATGAAAACTTCACACCGATAACGTATAGTGTTGAAGGACATCACGACTAAGGTAACTGGGGTAACAAGGTCAAAGGTGAATGTGAGGTGAGATTCATGACTGATGAGGCACTGACGCTTCTCAAGTCGGATATAAAAAGATGAAGCCAAAGTAGAAGATTAGCCTCGACAGTATTTCCTTGATTAAAACATGCATTTCAATTCAGGATAAAATTGAATTTTTGAACAGTTGTGTTGTAAAGCAGTGACCGAATTATGCCGCAATCACTTCCACACAACGTGATAGCAATAAAAAAAACAAATACTATATGGTGAAGTTCATTATACTGTATTGTTTTTTTTTCTTTAAAAAAAAAAAAAAAAAAACATTTGATTTTACCTTTATATTTAATATGCGATGAAAGTCCTGAGTATAAAATGATCCAAGTGTCTGCTTTCATAACTGTATGTCAGATGTTTCAAACAAACCAAGTCGCTTCACAATCGGTAACAAATTAGACCAGTAATGATGAATTCATCGGAGCCAAACACAGTTACGTCAATACAAGCGAATGGAAGAGATCGCCAGGGGCTCCCGGCTAAAGACGGCAGCGACAGGTCGTCAACTGGCCGAGCCTCCCTCAAGTGGTTATTTATCTCTATGGCAAGAACGCCGTGTTTCTTCAGCAGCGGCATGAATACTTTCTGGGCACAACCATGCACTTTCACTTGCTTTTCTGGCCGATCAGAAAGACTAAATTCACACATTCATGAAATATATTTGACAGACTGGTGAACGTCAGCATGTGCAGTACATGTGTGATAAATCACAAACAGTAATGTCTCATGTGATGGCACGCACCAATGATTGCCTGTGTCAATAAATGTGTATGTAGTGCCATGAGATAACGAAGAGTACTATGACTCTTCGAAAGTTTGGAGTCACTCTCAACGAAAAAAAGGACAAAAATAAAGTAAAATGTAATTACTGCAAAGCGGAGCTGGCGCAGCTAGGAGACGAGAACACGCCATCGTGTGCACATGCATCCTTCTCGAGGTAATCGCGAGGTAATTTTGCATTCAATGATTAAGCAATGTAATTCATCTGACCATCACCAGTTACAACGCACAATTGCCCAACTAATTGATGGAGTAATAGATAGGATCATGAGCCTATAAAAAAATTAGTGACAGGCCGAGGCTCTTTGCAGAAGTCCTCACCCGTGCATCTGAACAGAAAATACGCACATTCACCCATTTTTAAAGATGAAATCTATGACTATCTTCACATGCAGTCAATAAGCCTTTGAACCCCGAAGGGTTTGAAAGGGCATTTTAACAGCCATAAAAAAACAGAATATGCTCATATTGTGGTTTCTAAAAACCTGAATAGACAAATAACCCTGGGGTTAATCCTTCTCTAACACAAATATTTGGTCGTGTAAACGTGTAACGGAAAACCTCCACTGAAAGGAACATTAATTTAAGTTCTGAGCATGTGGTGGGGGGATAAGAGGGGATACACCGCCAGTAAGGGAGGAAAAGTATATGCGGGTCAAATCTGAGGCACAATATGGGGTGGGAGACGACTGATTGTTTCACAGATCATGATTACCAAGTACTCCTGTCAAATCGTAAGGACTGTCTTCATAAACATGACAAAGTGATTTATTGTAGAACATTGCAAACTCCCCTTTCTCATTAAAACATGGAGCTACACTTCAGTTACCATGGTGTGCTTTTTGTTCATCCTGAAAACCTTCCCCAATGACCAGCCTCCCTTAACAGTTCCCTGACACCACGCTGGTCTTTTTGTGATTTGAGTTTGTGTATTTTAGGGCGCAATAAAACGCAGACTTCTGTGTGCTTTGTGCACATGTTGTACATGTGAGAGAAAGAGAGCGAGAGAGAAAGAAAGGGTGACAGACCTCCCATGCGGAGAATGCAGCTGCTCAAAGGCACAATCACGTCCAGTCTGGGACAAAGTATTCAAATATGGATGTGGTGATGGCGTATCTTGCTGGGGTCCACATCGACGCGGCGGGCCTCGGCGAAGGCCAAAAAGATGCAGAGGCCGAGCAGATTGACAACAGTGATGAGCCAGAACATGGACGCCCATGATCCTGTGGTCTCGATGAGATAGCCCGAGAAATACACCAGAAGGACTCCTACACACACACACACACACACACACACACACACACACACACACACACACACACACACAGCAAATGCTAGATTAGGTTAAAGAGATGAAAGGTATGTGTGATAGCGTCATGTTCCCGCTGAGGAAAATGTCACAGTTCATTGCAACTCCCCCACAGGACCAACGTCTGTCATTCTGTGTCGTCCATTATTCATCTGTCGCACACGCCATGATGCTGCTTTCTTGATGAAATAAACATGACACACAGGAGGCGACGCCACTGACAGCGCGTGAGCTCAAAGTCATCATTTTGAGTGGTGGATTAATTATTTGACCAAAGTGTGTTATAAAGTGAAAAACAAAATCCCGAGGAAAGATTGATGTTGTTTTGCCCACTGTTGTCAAGTGAAAGAAACTCACCTGAGAACGCGCCGCATGTGTTCATAACACCTGTCAAAAAAACAAAAAACAAACACACGGGCCATGTTAAACTTTTCAAAAATATGGTCATCTTGTGTGGTGGGTTTTCATCCAAAGATTGTTTTTCACTCACCAAACAAGGCCCCTGCACAAGATGGAGCGAGATCTTGAACGTTTAACGATACACCACTGTGAAGCAAAAGTGTCATTAGCTCACCTCAGTCAGTTGATCAGTGTCAAATATGAGCAACAATAAGATGAGAAAGAGAAAATGAGATCCGTTCAATATAAAAATTAATAAAAGACAAAAGGGAGACAATTATGAATGCTGGTTGAGACCAAAGTATCATCAGGTCCATTGCTCCGACCTCTGCTTGGACCAGATCAGAACTGACGTTTTTTAATTAGCAGGAACGATTTTCACACATTTTGTTCCCTGATGAATCCCTTACAAATAGCAGAAGAAGTAAAATATATAGCCTGTATTTGTAGGGAAGACAACCGTTGAACCGTGACTCTTTGAGAGACGGAATAAGAATAAAACAAGACAGGCTCATGCTTTGTTTCTTCCCTTCCTGTCCTTCCTGTCCTGTATGCCGCTTGAAGTTGCAACATTGTATACCAGTGACAATACTGAAATGACCAGGTGAAATCCTAAATGCCAGATGTTATGTTACACAAAAAAACAACCTCTATGACGGCATACTATGTTCGAAATATTTGCGGTTATAGTTTTACTTGGAACACAAACGTATTTTGTGGTTCCAAGATTACCTGAGCACTCAAAAGGTCAACTTGAAAAACATTATTTTGCATAACTCCCAAAAGGAACAGCAGTCACATGGTCATGTTTTTATCAAGTTGTGAATTGGAATGCAAAAGAAAATAAATATTTCCACTTCAATGAACACAGCGGACTAGTGGAAGCTCTAGACCAGGGGGCGGCAAACCAAAATGTTGAAAGAGCCATATTGGAACAAAAAGCAAATATAATTGTCACCTCAAAAAATTAAAAGCCTTATATAAGCCTTATAATGAAGACAACACATGCTGTATGTATCTATATTAACTATATTAGCCTACTATCGAAATGACTGAGTTGGCTACGAATACACAATGAGCCATCATGATTATTTTTTTTTTCCCTGCAGTGCATCCTGTAGAGCTGGGGTGCCCAACCTTATTTGACCAAATATCTACTTTTCGATCAACCAGTCTCCCGAGATCGACCCGTTACCGCATACGCACGCACAGACACACGCATGCCATAATAAGCAACAGCCACAACGGCCCCCTAAGATGAACGAGGCACGGGACGCACTTCTGCAGCGTGTTAACTATCGTAGTTCACGTGTACCATTTAAAAATGCTCCTCTCGGCCCTCCACATTCACATTCTTTGCCAGTACCCTCTGTGAATTGTATATGAAATGCTGTTTTTTCTTTTAACAGCAGCCACTTGCCTGGGATCCCCTGCTGCTAATAGAAACGTGTGTCGCAGGCTACGATGCAATTCTTCGTTGACAGAAATGTTGAAATGTAACATTTATTCTCCACATTTTTAAAGCATTGAAAAACGTTAAGAATGTTTGTGTCATGTTTGTCCTCCGACAGAAACCATATTAAAACAAAAAATATATTTCCTGCCCCCATCTTTTTCCATTTTCAAACATTTTTGAAAAAGCTCCAAGGAGCCACTAGGGCGGCGGTAAAGAGCCGTATGCAGCTCCAGAGCCGTGGGTTGCCGACCCCCGCTCTAGACAGTTTGACCTTGGGTGGAGGTTATAACGCTCCCTCATGTACACATATGTACACACATGCACTTCAGGTTGCATTTTCTGCACTCCGTGGCAATTCTATGTATGTTTACGTGAACAACTTTAAACTCAGTCCTTGAAGGTGCCCAACCTTTTTTGACCCAAGGTCGACTTTTCAAGCAGCCAACCTTCCGTGATCGACATTTTAGGGGGAGCTAAAAATTCCAGGCCACCGTCTCAGCTCAGCTTCATAATTGAAGGAGTAAGAAGTGAGGTTTTGCTCACAACTGTATTGGATTAAAAAAAAAAAAAAAAAACTAATTCGACTGCACTTAAAAACAACTGAAACACACTTAAAAATGTACTGTGCTGGAGTTAAAAAAAGTTAAAAGTCGATTCTTCAAAGTCCACCTTCGGCTTGTTGCGCAGCTTGTTTTCAGAAATTGACATACTTGGTCTCGGTCCACTTTCGAAGCAATGCCTCTGCATCTCTGGCCGGACAGAATTAAAGCATTCGCCCCACTAAGGCTGCTTGGACGGTGATACCGTGACGTGACCTCCTGGCTGCTGACTGGTGGCGAACACTGTGTTCCTGGCTGTATTAACGGCGGCGGGCACGTAGCTTCTTGGCTGCCTGGACAGCGCCCGTCTGCGACACGGAGCCCCTTGTCTAGCTGGTAAGAAGCTGATGTCGTTCTGCTAGCGCTGACTATTTAGCAGCCAAGCTGCAATGTTGTTCGGCATGGGAGCTGGCAGAAACTACCGTAATTTCCGGACTATAAGCCGCTACTTTTGTCACACACTTTCAACCCTGCGGCTTATCTAATGAAGCTGCCTGTTTAAAGATTTTTCCAACGGCCGCCAGGGAGCGCTCGAGCAGAAAAGGTAACAGTGAGACGCTATCATATGTCACAGTGAAAACAACCAGCCATTAGAGGGCGCACTTCACCTGTGTTTTTAGATGGACTGCAATCCGAAAGCTGTGTTGTGGCTGGGTCTATGACAGACTTGACCGAACGCAAAATAATTTTTATGAAGGCTTTGTTCCCGACTGAACATAGAAAATGCACAGCATTAATACAATAAACGACTGAGATATGTCAAATGGGACTAACAAATAGAAAAGTATACAAAAATAGACAACAGTCGTGGCTTATGAGCACTTTCTGGCATTTGGTATGTGCCCGAAACGTGCGGAAAACAACTAATCTCCCCTGCTTCACGGCTGGTCACACGACCCACCGTGCAACACCGTTCAAACTCCCAAACGACAATATTTTACTCTTAATATCAGCTGGGTTACAATGCCGATTGCAGATACATCAAGTCTGAAAAAGCACAGCTCAGCATTCTTCTCACTTCACTTCATGGTCCAAGTCTCAGGAGATTTCCCACGAGATTACCCAACGCTCCTTTTAAAGTGACAGTGCTCCATTTATTAAACGAGGCAGCATTCACTACAACAGTCAAGACATTGTCGTGAAAGTTGACACAAAAGCGTGGATGGTAGAAAGCTTAATGAAGGAATGGTTGACGGAGTGTTACGACAAGAGAGGTTTTTTTTTTTTATCATTTTAAAACAAAGCATTACTCAACAGGGAATGGTGCATTTTTTTTTTTAACCAGCCGTGTGAGTGCTGTTTTACTACCGTCGTGCTTTATAGGCACAATTTAGAAAGAAAACTTAAGGTTAAGTTATTAAACGTTGAAACCACTTTCTGTGTACCGTCTTTCATTGCAAATATTTCATGCGGCTTATAGACAGGTGCGGCTTGTGTGTGTACAAAATGTTTTTTCCCTTTCAAAATGTAGTGGGTGCGTCTTATAATCAGGTGCGCTCTATAGTCCGGAAATTACGGTAATATCCATGGCTGCCTGCCTGCCTATACGGAGTCGAACAAAACTTTAGGGAGCGCTAAAATATGGAAATCAGCATGTTGACACACAAAACTAAAATGTGCAAGCAGAATGACAATACCTGTGACTGAAGGTGGTGAGTCCCATTGTGGCCGACACAAACGTTACGGCCCAGGAGAATGTGGTGTTTCCGCACAGAAGCAGGGTAAACACACTAGAAATCCCCATCGAAAAAAACTAGCGAGAGGCAAACGCACAGAAAAAAACAGATGAACCCAACATTTTACGGGTGGACCATGTTTCAAGCACCGGGATGTTTGCAGAGTGAATCTTCTCTACCTGCATCAACTTCCTCACCGAGGCCGTGTCAAAGCCTGTAGGGATGACATTTTGACAACAGCATGAGTGAAACGACTCCATTTGAAAGCAGCGATGCACGCAGAGTTGACTTTTGCACCTTGACTTATGAGGTGGTCAGACAGGTAGCCGCTAAAGAGTGAAGAGGGGATTGCCACCAACCAAGGAATGACATTGAACACCCAACCCTGGAGGGAGAAAATATCAATTCACCACAAAATGCATTGGGATGTTTTTGGTCAGGTTTTAAAACGTTTGCTTCTGGTGTACTACTTTCCTCATTTCATTACATTTCAACTACAGAGGAAAATTTGTCTACGTACAAAATATATTTACATCGTCAATCATTTGCTTTTGCATTATTTTGCATACGCTTCCTCCACAACAGCAGTCTTGTCGGCTGCCATTACTGTAGTGCCTGCAGTCCATGACGAGGAGGGACGTGTAGCCATGGTAACCTTTTTGTATTTGTTGTAGTAATTTCACCATATCATGATGGACAAGCACAGAAGAACATTGTGTAAAGACAACAAAGTACACAAATCCTGGCTTTATGTTTATTTAATTACTTAATCCCGTTCGGAACAAAAGGTAGGGTGTGTTCTTGATTCTGAGAGCTTCACCACAAGTACCGGTATGTTTTCATTATTTTCGCCTCCTCCTGAAATGGATCAAGTTACCTTAGCATCGGGGAACGTGTCTTTAAAGAAGGTTGGCAGCCATGACAACAAAGTGAAGAATGTGCTCGATGTGCAAAGGTGAGTAATGATCACGGCGCTGGTCAGAGGATAAAGCAAAGCAGAGAAACACACAAAATCAATGGGATGGGCATTGGTACCACATGATGTAGACACATGCACGCACACAAACAGTGCAATTATGGATCTTTTTTTTTTGGTTTGTTTTCAAAGCCAAAGTTTCTGTGCTATTGGTTTCCAGTTAAGGTCAATTCCTTCCTGTCATAAAATGTAACCATTCACTTTTACACTGGTAAACACATTTTTACAACATCAGAGATGAAAGTGGACTTTCCTGAAAATTCCGGAAAAAATAAAAATATATATATACTGTGTGTGTGTGTGTGTGCGCACACACACACACACGCACACACACACACACGCACACACACACACACGCACACACACACACACGCACGCACACGCACTTGGCCGATCACGCATGAATTAGTTTACACAAAAACGCTATTCTAATACTCGACATTCAATGATTAATCTTCCTTTTGTGTTCACACGTGTACCCTTTGTGGCTTCCGTTCGGGCCGAAATTTCGAAATCTCCAAGATATGGCGAGGCCCTGAGAAAGCGCGGGCGGGG